AATTTATTTGGTTTACCCCATGGTTGTAAGGGGTGGAAAACGCAACCCCTAAAATATATTTCCAATGTAATTTTTTGTCTTATTATTTGTTTACCATTTAAAAATTTATTTCCGATAGCCTGTTTCATTCTAAACAAAACATGTCTCTTGGGTTTTCTGCCCAAAACCAGTTTGCAGCAAAAAAATATTTTACGAACAACTACAGAGATACATCGTCATAAATGCGAACTAGATTTATTGTTATTTTGTAGTTAGTACCTGCATTGAACAATTAAAGGGTAATAAACAAAACTAATTTATTATTATCAAAACACACACAACATGTACAAATCATAGTAAATGTTCAATATGTCTACCTTCAGACATTACGCATGCGTCCAGACGTCGACGCATTGAGCCACGTATTCGCTCTCTCTGATTACCCTGTACGTATCGATGATGTGGTTTCTTAAGTCCTCTACATCGCGAACGATAAACCAAATGCTGTAAATGGCCCCAAATAGAGAAATCGAGAGGATTGAGATCCGGAGATCGAGCGGGCCAGTTTTGTGGTCCTCCTCGACCTATCCACTGATTTGCATGTTTCAGTTAAATGCTGACGTGCTACTTGACTAAAATGGGCGGGAGCCCCATCATGCATAAAAAACATATCCCTTCTGACGCCCAAAGGAACTTCTTCCAGCAGTACTGAATGCACTTCTCTTAATCGAGGAGGTAGAAAATGAGGCCCAATCAAATCATCCCCAATAACTCCGAGCCACACGTTAGAAGAAAACTGTTCTTGATGGTTAGTTTCGACAATAGCGTGAGGGTTTTCATCAGCCCATATGTGATAATTATGAAAATTTCAATAATCTTGTCCAGAGAAAAACTACATTCGTCTGTGAATTCTATCGTCTTCAGAAAGTCACAATTTCTTCTAATCATTTCCAGCATCCAATTGCAAAATTCAGGACGTTTTGGAAAGTCTCGCGGTAACAGTGCCTGTACTCGTTGCAGATGGTAAGGGTATAAAAGTTGTTTCTTTAAAAATCGAAATACCGTCATATGATCAACATTTAGCTGGAAAGCAATCTTTCTAGTACTAGTAGTAGGTTGTTCTTCATTCAAATTAAGTACTGCTTCCTCAAGCTGTGGTGTTCGTACTTCTCGATGGCGGCCACAATCCTGCGTTCTTTTGTCGAATGAACCATGTTCTCGTAACCGTTGATGAAGTCGAGCAAATATTCTATGTGAACGATGCTGCCGTTGAGGATACATTTCAGCATATCTTCTAGAAGCTTCTAACACATTCCCCTGCGACAGACCATAAACGTAATGCATATCAGCCATTTCCTCATTTGTATATGCCATTTTAATAACAAGTTATTTATTCAAGTAACAAATTGAGAACAGAACAACAACACACAATTAGTATTAATTCAATTTCGAGAATTCACAAACTGACAGCGTCATACCAATTTAATTGTCACTATCGCTAATAGCGACCTACTAGATAGATTAGTTTCGTATTTTCGCATTTATGACGATGTATCTCTGTAGTTGTTCGTAAAATGATTTTTTGCTGCGAACTCGTTTATTTTGGGCAAAAAACCCAAGAGACATTTTTTTTTAGAATGAAACAGGCTATTGGAAATAAATTTTTAAATGGTAAACAAATAATAAGACAAAAAGTTACATTGGAAATAAATTTTAGGTGCATTTTCCACCCCTTACAACCATGGGGTGAACCAAATAAATTTCTGGCTAAGTGTATTTTTGGTAGTAAAAAACGTCAGGTTAATCTCAATATTGTAACTTTTTAGTGCTTGTGAAAAAAATTGTTATACAAATTTTGTGTACTCCCTTGAAGGGGCTGTATCTTAACAAGGGATGCTCCAATGAAATTTCTTTATATGAAAGATCCTATCTTTTTTTCGATGAGGAATCACCTCCTTGAATGTTATACACTCATTTAGTTACACCCTGTATAATTATTGTTGTTGGTTTTTACCTGAGTTCTTCTTGATTGACCTCTTCTTCCCGTAAAGATTTGAAATATTAAATCTAAAGTTCTCACGGATAGGAATATGCTTTACTGTTTTCCGGGTTTTGATCCGTGTTCTGTGCTGTTATCCTCAATAGGATTCATCTCACGATGTTTCGACAAAGTCTCATTTGTCATCATCTGTCGATTTCTGTTAAGTGTTCGGGAGTCGATCGACCTTGCTCGATCCGCTCCCTACTATATAGGTAAAGTGATGTATGTTACGTGTTCGGAAGTAGACTGTCCGAATACGATCTGCTTTCTTATATATAAATATTGTTGTTGTTTTCCACCTGAGTTCTTCTTCTTGATTGACCTCTTCTTCCCGTAAAGGTTTGTTATTTACATTTCAATAAAAGCAAACATTCTGCAGATAAATAGGAATTCGGGTAAATCTACAGTTTTAATTCCCATCGGTGTAAATATTTCTGCCTTGAGCCTCAAGAAGCTATTGTACGGTGAAATGTGTCGCGGTACAGTGAAATATGACGGGTTTTGTAAACTGTTAAATGAAAATCTCATTATAAACTGTTATTTGAATATGTTATTTTGATAAGTAGAATTTGGAACCTCTGACGTGAAATGAATCTATCAAAAACACTTTTTCCCTTACCAGAACAAAATTGTGAAAGTCATACGGCTTTCAAAAAAAGACTAAGGGTCTTCATATTTAATCGGAAATTATCAGATTCATTATTCTTTTTGAAGATGTGTGAACATCTTCTATTATGGATTTAAATGGTCCCTATATGTGTATTTCTCATGATACATATGTATTCTCTCTTTGTATTGTGTGAAGGTGCATTAGTTGTATCAATTTGGAACTTTCTTCCCCAGTTTATTGGTTCACTTGAAGTCGTTCATTCAAATTTGTTTTTGGTATAATTTTAAATTTAATGGCAGTTCAAAAGTCTACCAATAAACTATACATGATAATAATTATAGAATTTTCACAGTTAGTCTAACTGATGAAGCAAAAAGCGTCTTAAATAAAATTTATTGTATAAATTCTATAATTATTATTATAGTTGATAGTGTTATTAATTTTCATGAAGTAATGCGTCAGATTATTCATAAACTACCGTTAAAAAGAACCATTCAAATGCATTTTGTTTCAGTAGGTATAATAAATTTAAGAAAGAATATACTAACTTCTTGTCCTGTTCTTTGTGTTCTGAATGATGTCGTACCAATCACCAATTCTGCAACAAAGTAAATTATCTTGACAGCACCTATGGCTGTCCATGGCTTCTTTGATAAAGTTTATAGTTAGATTCATTGATTTTGCTTCTTCTTTCAGTGATCTGGCTACAGTAGCATATGCATAGTCGTATATTATGGAAAATTTGCTCCATTTGTAATAAGTTAAAAGGCTGATGACAGATTTGGTGACCTAAAACAATTAATAATGTATTTTATTGAGATGCGGTTTTTTGGGCGAGGTATTTACCAACCTGTGTATCAGGAGGTTCCGTTCTGGCAAAAGTTGGTACTTTGGATGCTTGATAGTCTGAACATTTCTGAAAAAATAAATCCCAAATTGACTTTTTCAAATAGAGTTGTTGTAGCATTAGTCTTTATTATTAGAATGAAGAATTTTTGTTTGATTATTTGGCAACATTGCTTTTCAGAAGTTTTTAACTGCGAATAAAAATTCGAGAGGCTAGAGAGAGAGTAGCAAGAAGAAAATTGTCGGAAGTCAGTCGGTCCGATTCATATTGTTTAAATAATTTACGGTAATTTGGTATAGTTTTACGGTGAAAGGTGAAAATCAGTATAGCGTGCTTTGATCCGTTAGGTATTCATTGGGTAAAGGGTAGTATTTTTCCCAATTCTTCCTTTCCTTCCTAAAGCCATTTCCAGCACCATCAGAAATCGAAAAGACAAATTATGGACCAGTGAAGGTAAGAACTGTCTTCATATTTCTTACAGAACATTATCGGGATGTTCTAGAAAATAAAAAGAACATTTTGGTCCCATCGAGCTCGGATTGTGTAAAATTTTAAATAGTTCGTAGTTTGTTTGAATCGGTTTCACTGAATTTTGTAATTTTCTTTTTTACAGTAACAGTTTTTTGCTGCTAGTCCGCACCTTTACGGGTTTAGAGAGGCGGTGTTGCCAAATGTACTGAAAAGTAATAGAAGCTCTTCAAAACTTATTTCATACCTTGAACATTTTGAAATTGTTTCTCAGATAAAAAAAATAATTCAAAATATTGTTTTGATATTCGGATTGGGAGTTACTGCAGCGGAAAGACAATTGAAAATGCTCACGGCTAAAAAAGAGTCATTATTTTCAATTTTGCAAAACCTTTTGGATTTATCCAAATCAATGAAAAATGAAACGGAAAAATCTAGGTTTTCAGCATTATATAAGTCGATGGATTCGACGAAAGCGGATTTGATCCAGGTTATTGACCATATCATGGAGGTTAGTTTTGATGTTGTTCACAACAAATTATGCAATTATTCAAAAAACTGATGAAATGTGTTGTTACATTCATATTGCGGCCGAAAAATTAGAGAGAGAAAAACAGCAGACGAATGCTTCGCAAAGCAGTGCGGCGGCGTCAACTTCACAGCATTCTAGTGCTTCTTAGGGTGATTCAGGTCTTCTGGGAAACACCAGTTTTGCGAGAAATCTTCCTTCGCTTCCAAAAATTGAACTTCCTGAATTTTCTGGTCATATTCGAGAGTGGGAAACGTTTTACTCAATTTTCAAAAGTTTAATACACGATAATAAATTGCTGACGAATGTTGATAAAGTCAATTATTTAGTGGGCCGTTTGAAGGGTTCTGCGTTGAGTGTTTGCACGGGATTGGCTCCTACTGGGGACAATTATGATATTATTTGGAAATCTCTTGTTGACAAATATCAAGATGAACGTTCATTAGCGACTAGTTACTTGGATCAGATTTTGGGATTTAGGCATATACAGGGGGAATCAGCAAAAAATCTTGAATCATTTTTGGAAAAATTCGATTGTGCGGTAAAAGCCTTGAAAAACCTGAAGATGAAGGATTTGGCAGATTTTATTTTGGTGCATCAGGCCCTTGTAAAACTGGATTCGGAAACGGTTAGATCTTTCGAAATGTCTGTTCGTGGTAAGGGTATACCAGCTTATGAAGATGTAATAAAATTTGTTAAACAGCAAGCTAAAATACTCAATTTGAACCGAAATGCTACAACTGGTAGGGGGAATTGTGTTGATACGAGATCGCGTTCAACAAATAAATCTTTCTGTGTCACCCAAGACAACAGATCGGATAATAAATAAAAGACAAACACTTGTATGTTTTGTCATAAGGGTAGGCATTTTTTGAGTAGATGTGAAAAATTCAAGCGGCTGACTCCATCTAAACGTTATATATTGGTTCGTGATAATAATTGGTGTTACAATTGCTTGTCTCCAAATCATGGTGTAAGATCTTGTCCGTCTGATCGGGTTTGTTCGGAATGTACCAGAAAACATCATTATTTATTGCGTTTAGGAAGACCTTTGGCCGGGGTACAACATGACCAAGGAGTACACGGGCCTGTACCAAGTAAAGTTAATGCTAGTAGTGACGTCTCGAATACGAATACTACATCGGAACATTTTTGTGGAACGGCAATAAATAATCATAATAATACAGTATTATTATCAACGGTGATAGTAAACGTTCTGAACGTTTCAGGTTAAGGTCAAACGGCTAGATTTTCATTGAATAGCGGCAGTCAGGTTCATCTCATCACTCAGAAATGTTCAAAAAAATTGGGATTGAAAATATCTCGTTCTGTTTCGGTACAAGGAATTGGTTCTAATACATATTCGGTATTTTTGGAGATATTCAACTGGCTGATAATAAATTTGATAAGTCGGCAGAAATTGACGGTATCATACGTGCGGAGCTCTTTGCAACGGTGATGGGGAACAACAGTTATGCTCCGGGGTACAGACTGTTTTTGGGTATGTTATAATGGGAAAAGTTCCGATATTTAACTCGGTTTCAGACTCGAATGTATTTTTCAATTTGAAAAAAAAAATCATCTCTGAATGAACTTATGACAACATTTTGGAAAATTGAGCAAGTTCCAAAAAACACTTTACCGGATGTTGAAGAATTATAATGTGATAAAATGTACACTAGTACTTTCAACAGATATTCAGAAGGGAGATTTACAGTGGCTCTTCCCTTTAAGAATTCACCTAGTACACTGGGTAACTCTAAAACTGGCGCTATGATACGATTGTATTCCTTAGAAAGAAGATTGACAAAATTTCCAGAATTGCGTTCAGGTTACAATGATATTATGAGAGAATCCATTGAACAAGGTCATATGCATTGGGTAAGGGACGAATATTTGAAAGCAGCGGATACAACGTATTACATTCCTCACCATGCTATTTTCAAAACTGATAGTTCCAGCACTCTGATTCGAATAGTGCTAGATGCTAGTGCATCCTCCAATAGTGATATTTCTTTGAATGATATTCTATACGGAGGCCCAAAATTGCAGACGGATATTTTTTCTTTGTTGTTGAATTTTAGACTTTTTAGGATTGCTGTCACTGCAGACATTCGTAGAATGTACCACCAGATCAAACTAGTGAACTATCATTGGCGATTTCAGAGACTTCTTTGGCGTTTCAGTCCAGATGAACCAGTTCAAGTGTACGAGTTCAATCGGTTGGCATTTGGGGTCAAGACAAGTCCTTATTTGGCTCTACGTACAGTCAAACAGTTGATAAAAGAGGAAGGTTATAAATATCCATTAGCAGCAGAAGTGGAATCAACGGATCTATACATGGATGATTTGGTGTGTAATGTATCTTCGGAAGAGGAAGCTCAGCGGTTATATTCAGAATCGGTAGCAATGTTTGCAGAAGGAAAGTTCGATTTGACAAAGTTGTCTTCGAGTTCGTTGGAATTGTTGGAGAAAATACCCTTTGAAAAGAGGTTATCACAGCCTGTGCTTTTTAAGACAGAAACAAAAATATAAGGAATGTTCTGGATTCCTGAAATGGATAGTTTTAGGTTTAAGTTTCCAGTTCCAGGATCTAGCTGTACTAAACGTTCAATCTTGTCCACAGTGGCGCGATGTTATGATCCAGTAGGATTGATGGCACCATTCATTTTGTATTTGAAACTTCTGATAAAGAAGCTATGAAAACTCAAAATAGGCTGGGATGACATATTCCCCTATGAAGTTTCCCAGAAGTGGTTGAATCTGAAAGATGAATGGTCGGTACTTGGGGAGATTCAGTTTTCGCGTTACATGGCAACCGTGAGAACATCTCCAATAATGTTAGTATCGTTTGCGGATGCCAGCATGGATGGATATGGAGCTGTGGCATATGTGCGAACAGTAACAGAAAAAAGAGAAATTGCTGTTAATTTGTTATGTGCGAAATCCAAGGTTTCCCCCTTCAAGATTGTTACAATTCCTAGACTAGAGTTAGTGGCAGCTCTTCTTTTATCTCGGTTTGTCAAGCATGTTTTGAAAATTTTCAATAATAAAATTTGTATTTCAAAAATATTTGCATTTTCAGATTCTACGACAGTTCTTCAATGGATGAATTCTACCCTGTTGAAAGATATATTTGTCGCCAACAGGGTTGCACAAATAAAAGATAATATTTCAAAAGCTGAGTGGTGTCATATATCTGGGTTAACGAATCCTGCGGATATTTTATTTAGGGGTGCAACTCCTTCCCAATTGATGGAAAACTACTTGTGGATTTCGGGTCCAACTTGGATGAAATTACCGGTTGAAGATTGGCCTATTAGTGAGAAAAGTTGTTTTGAGAATTGTGGGCAGGGCATCGATTCCATAAAATGTCTCGTTTCAATGGAGGACACGAAAACGCATCCATTGTACGAGATGGTTATGAGGTCGTCGTCATACATTATAATTTTGCGGATAACGGTGAGAGTGCTTCGTTTTGTGAAGCTCCTTCCGGTGAAAGAAATAATCACAGCAAGTGATATGAATAGAGCGGAACTGGTCTTGGTGAGAATCGTGCAAGCCAAATATTTTGCATCCGATATTAAACTTTTGAATTTGAGAAAGGAAATTTCAAATAGATTGCGCAAGTTGAACCCCTTTCTTCAAAACGGAGTTCTAATGGTGGGGATTAGGTTAGAGAATGCTCCCATATCTTTCGCAGCTCGACATCCTATCATACTGCCTAGTAAGGATCCTTCCACGGAGAAATTAATAGATTATTATCATAAAATATATCTTCACACCGGTCCATATTTGATGGAAGCAATTTTGAGGCAAATATTTTGGATATTAGAGGTAGAAACGTCATTCGACAACGAGTTCATGCATGTAATAGGTGTTTCAGATTGAAACCCAAGACGATAAATCCTCTGATGGCGGATTTGCCGACATCAAGATTACATCAAGCTAAATTTTTCTCTCATACGGGTATTGACTATTTCGGCCCATTCAGTATAACCCTTGGAAGACGGAGAGGGGCTCGCTCAAGTATACAAAGGCTATGTTTGTTTGTTCGTGTGTATGAGTGTAAAGGCAATTCATTTAGAACTTGTTAGCTCATTATCAACAGATAGTTTTTTGCAGGCTTTAAAACGATTTCTATCTCGGAGAGGACCTTGCAGTGTTATTTATTCTGATCAGGGTACAAATTTCGTGGGCGCGAAGACTGTTCTTCGAGAAATTAATGAGTTCGTCAATTCCGAACGGTACAAAAAGGCATTTCAAACAGAATTAGCTATAAATGGTATTGACTGGATTGTGGGAAAGCCATGTTAAATATGTGAAAACTCATATCTTCAGAGTGATAGGCACGCAACTTTTAACTTTTGAGGAATTCAACACTTTGTTGATACAAGTTGAAGCATTATTGAATTCTCGTCCTCTTTGTAGTTTATCAGCGGACCCATCAGCACCTGAGGCATTGACTCCTTCGCATTTTTTGACAATAATTCCATTGAAAAATTTACCTGCAGATAATTTGACAGATATTAATATAAACAGAATTGATCGGTTCCAGCTAATAGATAGGATGGTTCAAGATTATTGGAAGCGTTGGCATTTAGAGTATCTCACTACTTTACAAGTGAGAGAGAAATGGAATACAAAATGTCCCAATATAAAGGTCGGGACAACCGTTATTTTGAAAAATGATAATTCGCCACCGCTTCATTGGCCATTAGCTATTATTACTGATGTTCATCCAGGAAAGGATGGAATTATTCGTAATGTAACAGTAAGGACTAATAAAGGCACCTACTCTAGACCGGTGGTTAAGGTGTGTCCTTTACCTACTCAATAAAAAGAGTTTTTTCTTATATCTTCATTTCAAATATTGTTTTATTTATTTTATTGAATTGGAATGCTTCATGCAATTGTTATTTTGGGGATATTTACATTTGGTATTACTATAATGGGTTAGATATTTATTGTTGTACCGGTTCAGTATCTCCCACCTATTTGTTAATGGTGTTAACAAGATAGCTGAAAAACAATTTTTCAGGATTGGGGGTATGTTGTAGCATTAGTCTTTATTATTAGAATGAAGAATTTTTGTTTGATTAGTTGGCAACATTGCTTCTCAGAAGTTTTTAACTGCAAATAAAAATTCGAGAGGCTAGAGAGAGAGTAGCAAGAAGAAAATTGTCGGAAGTCGGTAGGTCCGATTCATATTGTTTAAATAATTTACGGTAATTCGGTATAGTTTTACGGTGAAAGGTGAAAATCAGTATAGCGTGCTTTGATCCGTTATTCATTGGGTTTAGGGTGGTGTTTTTCCCAATTCTTCCTTTCCTTCCTAAAGCCATTTTCAGCACCATCAGAAATCGAGAAGACAAATTACGGACCAGTGAAGGTAAGAACTTTCTTCATATTTCTTACAGAACATTATCGGGATGTTCTAGAAAATAAAAAGAACAATAGTAAAACTGCAATTATACGAACTCCAACTATTCGGATCACTTTTAGGGAAAATCAGTTTTTCAACAATTTTTCAAGGGAAATTACCTTGCAAACAATGTCTTTCAACATTTTAAAATCATCATCATTATGATGGAATGGCAAATGCTTCCTTTTCTACTGAACAAAAAAAATACAAATTGGAAAGGATTAGTGTAACTCCCACTATTTGAGAACATATCCCAAAATATTCTAACGAGTCTAATTTTTATCAAGAGATACTTGTTGCTTTATGATTCATAGATCTTCAATCCCTTCAGCATGTAACACTGTTTCGATTTCTGGGACACCCTTCAGTTACCATGATTTAAAGGAGCGGACTAGTTTACAAAAAAACGGAATCATTGATTCAGTTATTTATAGAATAGGTACCTAAATATATTGGTATATTGATTACTGGTTTAGCCTGGATTACCTGTAAATTTTCCACTATTCAGTCCCTTTCTCTAGGCTTCTCACTACACTACTATACAAATGTGACAATCACATTAATTAAGACAATCCGAAAGTCCATAAATTATAAATGAGTTAATCGAGTTCAATGAGTTTTCGGTAGAGACAACATGAAAAATAAAATACCTATGAACTTTTAGATGAAATAATTCTCGAAATTGTTTACTCACATAACTAATCATCGGAATATTCCGAGCCTGAGATACGATAGATTCCACATGGCAAGTTCCTTCGGGTCCAAAAAAAGCCGAAACACCATCGCAAATCATTTCAGTCATTGCTTTCGTCGCTATAACAGTTTCGCCTCTGGTATCGTTCCATCTTAGTTCGAGCGTCACATTTGGAAGAATATTCGGATCATTGTTGACCTTAAAAAAAAACACGAAAGTGGTTAATTTTTGATGATGATTTGGTTGTTAATGGTTGAATTCAATCGTTTTCAAATCAAATTAAATAATAAAAAAAGAACGCGAAAAGGAAATTTGATGTTTTATTCCACCCAAAGCATAAAAGCGATAAAAACCTTGAAGGCTATGCAGCTTTTGCAGAGTTTCACCACCATATAGAAGTAAACACTTCTATACGATGGTTTTACATACCCTGGTTTGACCCTTTAAAATGAAAATTAATAGAGCTCATGACTGGCGCTGTCAACGTCAATATTTTCGACAAGTTATTACAATTTTTCAAACTCAATGATTTTAGGATATTTCAAATGAATCTTAAAATTTGGATTCTGATACATAGTTTCTTTGAATTTATATTATCGTTTCCTTTTTCTAAAAATAATCTGAACATACCGAATGACAACAAAATGAAATCATTTTACACGGCACTATTCAGAGGTTCATGAGATAAAAAAATTTATGAATTGAAGGGGTTATATTTTTAGGAGTGATTAATTTTTGGGAAAGAAAGTTTTTGGCTTTCTACTATTCCATCTTGATACAAAAAATGTGGGAGGCTTCCAAAGAAACGCAGGAAGTAGGTAATCAATTCGAAAATAAGTAACTCTATACATTCTCTATACCTCTATACCTTCCTTAAACAGCACTTTTAGTTTTCCAATTATTGTATCCACATTGTCACAGGTAAACAAATTTCAGTTACTCAATTAAGTTACGGACCTCTATTATTATCTACAGTAAATATATTCGAAGTAACCGGTTTAGTGCATAGTTAAAGCTGTCGGCGATCTCAAAGGGGAAAAAACCAATACAGAGAAACAAAGCCGCTGCCAACTAGTCCACGTGGACTGTAGACTTGGCGGTTCGTATTGGATGATTTTTACTAACCGAGTTTTATGATTGGCTGAAGAGTCATGAAATTAAATTTGAAATCATGTTACGGTGACGAATAGAATGCGAGTATGGTTATAAGAGTCGTGTTGTCAATGTTCAGTTCAGAAACTGACCACGACTTGAGTGTTGAAATTCGATATTGGTGCAGTTATAATTACTTAAAATTTTTGTTATCTGTTAAAAATATGGCATCCTTGGACAAGTACTAATAGTAATAACGAGTGTGATAACAACGCAGACTTTTTCCTGTGTAGTGATTCCAATAGCGATGATGAACAATGCGAAAAAGAGATAGCAGTGAATAAGATTCGGATGCATTTGAATATCGAAACACAGAGAGTATGTTTCAAAAACAATATACGACTGTTACAATGAGATACCTACAATTAAGATCATAAGGAAGAAATTGAATACTTCCGGCCATAACGTGAGCTGCTGTGACAAAACTCTTCAGAATTGGATAAAGAAACTAGGATTTATATTTAAAATAACAAACAAACGTCAAGCAGTTATGGAAAGCAGAAGAATAGTAGAATTGCGTTACAAATACTCAGAATAACTGAATTTAAAATCAACTACTCCCCTGGCTAATACCCAGGATTGATACCCTGAAGGAATTTGATTTTCAATTATCGAAAATCATCGACTTTATGTTGATGATATACACTACCTTACACTTGCAGGAATACAGAAACATTTTTCATACATACAGAAACATTTTCGTTACACACGAAATTTTAACTCTGGTTGGATTATATATTTATGAGTTGTCAGTTTATGTTTTCACTAACAGGAATGACTTCATTTTCAATAGCGATATTAATGATAAAAACACTCGGACGTTAGATCGGCTAAGTATAAGATAACTCAAAGTGCACCAAAACGTATAGGACCTAGAATTTACAACTGTTTACCAAATAAATTGAAGTCAATATGCAGCCTTCCGTTGTTTAAAAAAAATTGATCATTTCTGTTAGAAAGATGTTTTTATACTCTTGACGATTTTTTAAAAACAAAAATTTGATTTGGTACTTTGTGTATTTTCCCTGTTAATTCTTGTATATGTATATTTTTTGTTTTGTCCTTTTATGTATATAATGACTATATCCTATAAATTTTTTTGTCAATATGAGGAAATAATTTGAAATAACTACTTTTATATGAAGTTTGGATTATATAAAAAACACGTTTTCTATTAAATTTGTACTCCTTATTTTACAATGGTGTGAAGATGTATAACCATCTGCCGAGTTACTCTAAAGAGACAAATATTAACTTCAATTAATACAGAAAAATAATCAAGTAAACCAGTTTGACCAAGTTCCATACCGATCATTTTTAACCTAGCATGTCTTATGTGTGTATTTGTTTCAACCATTGTTTGTTGTTTTCATTCAGTGTTTTTCATACTTCAGTTTAGTGTATACTATATTTTATTTATATTTTTATATTCATAGGACATTTATTTATTCAGAAGTATTTTCAATTATCACCCTGTTATTTGAATACACGGTCAGTAATTTGATATAATGTTGTCCGGGTTGAACCGCGTCTGTAATTTTCATCTTTTCGACGTTTCGACTCCTACTTTGGAGCCATTTTCAAGAATCACTTGGAACTGTACTTACATGAAACGTGGACGAGGCCGCAATATCCCTTGCCCCCCTAGTCTCGTCACTAGCTCTATGCTTGCTGTGTTGCACTATATCGTTTACTTGAACTATATATAAGGGCATTATTTTCAGTTTATTGTAATTGTTTGAAAATGTCCTTATAGAACAACAATTACAAATAAAAGTGGTAAAAAAACATAGAAAGTTTTATTTCTCATTTTTCACATTAAAAAATGAATTTTATATTCTATCAAAGTGTCCAAAATATTTTCACTTGGTATATCCAAGCTTAATTGATCAAAATGCGTATTTCCATAATTTTGAAAATTTTGTTCATCAACTACTTTCATTTATGATGATTTGAGATAAAATTATTTGGATTATGTCCTGCCTCAAGCCATCTGCTTAGGAAAATTATGAAATATATTCGTCGGGTAAAATAAAAAACTTACAATATTCAGAAACTCCTAAATATATGAGATACACATTAGGAAAGACAATAATTGAGTAATATAAATTTGCGATCTCAAAAAAATCCCAAAAACTGATTATAAATAAGACTATATAATTTGTGATGCACTGTTTGGAAACTTTGGTGTAGTAAAGAGTATTACTCCACTATATTAGTGGAGTTTTTTCCAAACCCCAAACCGTTATTTTAACACCTCGACACGTGTTTCGATCACCAAGTGATCATCTTCAAGAGGAAGATCAAACTAATCATACTTACAAAGTTATCCTTATTTACACCATAGATACCTCTTTTAGGTACCTGCGTCTTAAGTGTCTTAAATTGATTTCACAATGTTGGCTTATCTACCAGCCCTAAATTGATTTTACAATTTGTCCTTATGTAATAGTCAGGTAAGTCTAATGAACTGAAGTCTGTGGAATGGTTTTGTTTTAAAATATGATGGACGACTGCTGATTTTTCAGGTAATTCATATTTTAAGTGTGCTAAGTGTTTCTTATTTCTTACTTCAATAGATATTTTGTCTGTTCATGATATTTTGCATCACAGTCTTCACATTTAATTTCGTAAATTTCAGACTTTTTCGAATTCTCGACTTTGTCTTTTGAACTTCCTAAAAGGCTCTGTAGTGTATGACTTGTTTTAAAAACCATCTTCATACCTAGTTCCTTGAAAATCTTTCCAAAGTTCTTCGTGTATTGGTGGTATGGAACTGAGATATATTTATCTTGGTTTTTGTTTTGAAAAGTAGGGATTTCGTTCATTCTCAACCTAAACTTTTTCTTCCTTATTACGTCATCCAAAATACCCCTCAAGAAACCATTAATGACTACTGTTTCCTTTATTGTACATTTTTCTTTTGAGAACCTCTCATGTGTGAGAGGAAAAGTCAAATGACGATGCACTAGAAAATTCAGCCCAGCATGTTTGTGCCGTCCAAAGTGATGTGAACTGTCAGGAATATACCGGAACGTGCTTGTTTCTTTTCTAAATACATCAATTTCTAGCCCTCCATATTGGGTCCTCATTACTGTATTTTTATTATTTATTATTTTCTAGATTAGATTCTAAATTAGACAATAGAATCAAACAAAAAATATCCCGTCTCCCAAATACAAAGATCCATCCAACGACAGCAAACACAAACCCCACCACACGAGTTACCCGAGGAACAGACCAACCAGACAAAAGCTTTTCTTCCCTACATCCATGGAGTTACTGACAAAGTGAGCCGAATTCTGAAGAAACAAAACCTAAAGACAGTATTCACAGCCAACAACCAAATCTCCACCATTTTAAGGACACGATAGGCAATGAAGCACAGGGCGTATACGAAATACCAAACGCAATGAAGCATAGGGCATATACGAAATACCATGTTCTAACTGTCCCGGAACATTGGAGGCCATTGTTGTCACGCAAGATACCTGAAAATAACTCAGGTACCCGGTCAGGCAGACCGGATACCTGCTACAACAATATAAATATGGGCCCTGGACAAGTGATCAGTGCGATTTCAGAGTGGAACACAGCAAGCATAGAGCTTGGGGACAAGGGAGATTACGACCTCGTCGTAATATGCTCTACTCAGCCTTGAATAATATTACAAATCATATTTACAGTAAAAATGAGTGAAAAACAATGAATTGAACATATGGGTTGATGATGGAAGCTACTATTTCTCCTATTATACGTAATGTACTATCTTTTTGAAAACATACTACTACTTCCCAAACTGAGTTTTGGAATTCCTTTTTTAAAGAAATACGTTGACGATGTCAATTGTGCAATATTTTATGACAAATCTCACGAATTTCTTGATGTTGTCAATATATAATATAAAAATTGCAATTCAATATCAAAATAATCAGATCCTTCTTTTTCTTGATACAAGGGTTATCCGTAAAACTGATAATTCCTTGATCACTGATTGGTATGTCAAATCTACTAATTCAGGAAGATATATCAATTACTATTCTTTT